GCTTTTGGACCTCGGCACTTTCCCCCCCTTGCCTTGCCCAGTGGCCACGACCCCAATTGATGTCACATTTAGGGGACCTGGTCGCGCATCTCAATCCGGGCTCCTGGGTTCATTCACAAGCGAATCCTTTTCTCATCCCCATTGTGTCGTTCATCTTCGTCTTTCAGACCTTCCTTTTCTTCATTTAGTTCACAGACACTTCGAGGGATAGATTGAAAGGCGCAGCGCACAGAAGCGGACGTGTTCGACCTTGCGAAACGCCAAGACTTGGTGTTTGGAGGAGAGAGATTTCTTCGGGGCGTAAGGGCGAGCTCACCAACAACATCATCGAAGACTGTAGACGGCAATCGATTTAGAGCCAAATCTTTGCACAGAAGAATACACCGGCACAATGGCATCAGGTAGATCAACAATCATCCGGCCCCCGCCGGATGACCCGAACAAGAGTCCGATGGAGAACGTATTAGAGGTGACGGAGCTCGGCGTGCTTGGTCCGGTGAGTGAATCCCACCCGATGTCGTCGGCGGCTACGTGTCTGCCAATGACACAAGCGTACATGTCAGAGAGTGAACATGAATTGACATCGTAAACAGGACATCTTCACGAACACGCGCACGCCGTGGCACCCGCCCGGCGCCCGCGGCATCTTTGGCGGCGCTGTCATCGCGCAGTGCCTCGCCTCCGCGCAGAAGACGGTGCCCAACGACTTCTTTCTCCATTCGTGCCACTGCTACTTTCTCCTCGCGGGCTCCTCCGAGATCCCCATCCTCTTCCACGTGGAGCGCGTCCGCGACGGCCGCTCCTTCGCCACGCGGACCGTGCAGGCCCGCCAGCGCGGGCGCTGCATCTTCACGACGACAGTCTCGTTCGTCAAGGAGGGCAGCGGCGGCGAGAAGCAGGTCCGTCACGCGGCACCGCTGCCCGACGGTGTGAAGCCGCCCCCGGACAACTGGAAGGGCGAGCCCGAGTGGAGCACGCACTCGCCCTTCCAGACGCACCGCATCTCCATCGTCGGGGCCAGGGACAAGGGCAAGAGGCTCGACGAGCTGAAATCGCGCAACTGGGTCCGCGCGCGGGGACGCATCTCGGTGAGCGGCGGCCACCAGGCGCACCTGAACGCGCTGGCGTACATGTCGGACAGCTACTTCATCGGCACCGTCGGGCGGATCCACAGGCTGTGGCGGTTCCCCTTCAAGCCCGAGGAGTTTGACGACCTGCCGCCCGAGCTGCGGGAGCAGGTCGAGCGGCTCAACGAGTTTGAGGGCAACACCGAGGCCGGCGGGATCGAGTACTGGAAGACGAGGCCGCACCTGGGCATGATGGTCAGCTTGGACCACTCCATCTACTTCCACGAGCCGAGGCGGGTGAGGGCGGACGAGTGGATGTTTACCGAGATGGAGAGCCCCTGGAGCGGCGACGGACGGGGCGTAGTGCTGCAGAAGATTTTCGCGAGTGATGGGACGCTTTTGGCGACTTGTGTTCAGGAGGTGAGTTGCCCCTTCATTGCCGCTGTTTTAGTTCTTTTCTTCTCACCCTTGATGTGTGATGCGTGCTGACTTCTTTTGATATAGGGTGTCGTTCGATTGAAACAACAGGAGGACGATGACGAAAAGGAGCCAAAGTCCAAGTTGTAGAGCGCAATTACGGCGTGTATGAGAATGTAGAGGTAGTGTACCAGCTCTGAGTCTGTTTCAACAATCTGCTTGTTATACAACAAGAGCGTTTGTCATTTCAATGATTTCATCACGAAGTCTTGTCCTGCATATGGAACCGTCGGGATATTGCAGCACCCGTGATGAAATCACTCAAATAATAAAACCCGGTTCTTCGACGTTGAAGGGGATCTCATATGGAAGTTCATTCACGACGCCAGTGACCAAGAAGCCTAAGGAACTACCATGTGTGATGATGGAAATGCCAGGGAGACCTTCACAGTCGGCCGTTCCCCGTCGTGACTAGCAGAGTTCACAGAGTTCTGTCGCAGATCGCGAAACTCGTTGAGGAAACCTGTCACCCGGTCGCCTCTATCGCGAATACGCGTCGGACCGCTGATCAACCGACGTCACGTACAATGCTTCTCTAGCCGTCCGTGAGGGTGATGCGGGAAGTCGATCAAGTGGGTGTCGAGGGGGGGCGTGTGGTGTGGTCGCTAGTCGCCTTGGGGAAGTCCTGAAAACCCAAACCGTACTCTCAAACTTGAAAAGCCTGAATAGCCGTGAAACGTATGGGTGTGTGAGAACAAGCTCAAACTTCAGATCCAGCCTTCATTGCCAAGCTCAAGCTTGAGCTTCAGCTCCCAGGACCACAAGACAAAACGCAAAAAGTTGAAATTGCAAATTGAACAGGCTTCATTGGTAGGAAAGTGCCGACTCTCAAAGCTTCTCTTCGCAACGGACCATCTCGATAGATCACTCATCACACCAACAGAACCTGTAGCACAAAACGTACATACATTAAGCTCAAGCTTACATCCTGGAGCTGTCCGCAGGCTGGGAGGTTTGCTCCAGAAGAGAAGAGAAGAGAAACAGCAAGCTTTCCCCGCGCGTCCGCCCACCCAAGCCGTCCCTTTTGCATATCGCAGCTCGGTTTGTGACGCACGCACATACCCATGCCTGCTTGTCAGATGCCATCCGGGCCACCCGGGCAGAAAACTCGTCTGATCAATATTCGCAGCCGTGGCTCTTGCCACGCCATCTACAGGAGTCCGATGGGGATTGTCTACGCGTGCGCGCGCTGCCTCTTCTTTGATGGAATATTCGCTGTCCGTGAAACTTATTCGTATCACAAAACGTAACTCTGTGTGACAATTCTGAGGAGACCAAGGCATGGAACAATATGCTCTTGCCGTCGACGTCTCACAGGAAGAAAAGGGCATCATTGATCTTTAGTCACTGCGTCATCCATCAGACGGCTCGGATCGGTGATGCTCTTGATGTGTGATATAATAACAATCTCACACCTCCAGGAGCTAGCTGATGACAAGACAAAGGCCACCCAGGCTTTCATGTTGTAGCCTCAAATTTACATAAGCATTCTATACTTCGTTCTCGTCAACTTTCAGCAGAGCAAGCTCTCACATCATGTCCGGCCCTCCTCCTAACCTTGGTCCCACGCGAGTGGTCCTCCACGTGAAGGGAGACGTGCCAGACTGGAAGGAGGAGTTCAAGCAGTTCCTCTTAACTGTCAAGGATTCGGAAGGATACTTCCGCTACCGATGGGGCCCTTGGGAGGAGGACCACAGCAAGCTGGAGATTCTAGCGAGTATGTTTCTAGCCCCTGACTTACAATCGCAACTTCGTCCCACTACCAGACCGAAACTGACGATGACTTCCCCGTTACCACAGCCTGGGCCCCAGTCGAGCACCGCCAAGCCTTCGGCCGCTGCCCCCACCACCAAAAGGCCATCGACGCCCTCATGCCCGTTCTCAAAGCCGTCCCCTCCAAGTGCCCGCGCGTCGACTTCGACGTCAGCACCATTGTTCCGCCGCCGCCGCAGCTCATCAATAGTCCCATTTGCGAAATCATCACCATTACGCACTTCACAGGCGACAAGGACGCCGCGGCGGCCATAATTAAAAAGGTCGAGGCGAATGCCGGGTGCTTGGCGTCCCACTCGGGCATCACGGCGACGGACACGCCTGATAACGGGACTGTGTGGTTGGGGTTTGTGGGGTGGCAGGATTATGCTTCGAGTAAGGCGGCGGATAAGAGTGTGTATATACCGTCTGGGGTGGGCAAGGTTGAGTCGCATCACATCAACTTCAATTTCCCAATCAAGGGGTTCTCTGTTACCAATCCTGGTAGATAAGGTAGACTTCAGTTGAATGAATGGGAACAAAGCGGTTTTGATTCGAAACTTGATTTCTTCGCGCTGTAACCCGTGATGGTAGCCTGCCGTGTCGTACCTCGGACTGAATGCATGAAGGCAATCTTAGTCCTGCGATGAAACATGAATGTCTTTGAGTTTGTACGCCACTGAGCTGGTCGATCTCAATGTTGATGAGACCTTCTCGTGTAAGTTCGGCCACAGAGGCAACCTCCAGACTTACTGAGAAAGTAGATTGTGGAGGTTTACTACGTGCAGAAATCAAGACTTGTCAGCTGACCTCTTCTAACTCCCAAATCGGAAAGTCTGCATAGGATTTTGACTACAAAAGAATATCTGCTCTGAATCTCGGATGCTAGACTCATGGGGGTTGTCCGTTTCGATGCTCACATCAGGCCCCAAAGGCTTCAATACGCCTGATTTGAGAAGTCCAATCTGAAGCCCTGCGATCATCAATTACAAATCTCAACAAGGCTGATGAAATGAAACGATATGCTGCCGTGGCTCCTTCTCTGTTTGTTTCAACGATGGTTCCGACTTTAAAGAACACATTGGTTGCCACGGCATGGACCGACGGGATGTGTCAACCAAAGAAAACTTAGAGTCCGAGTTGCCCACTCAGAGAGTTGGAACCTGATAAGTACAACCAGAGCCGCGGTTAGCCACCTTTATCGCGTGATTGGTGATCTAGTAGATCGGATGACAGCTGAAGAGAGAGTGTGTGCGAACGGCTTTCCAGAAATAGTTAGACGATGAACCTGGCTCATGACTAGTGACAGCAGGGCTGGAGCAGTGAAGGTCCGCAATCTCAAGTCACAACTTACATGATGTATACGAACCGGATGGGAGGCCCGAAATGGTAGCGTAAAGAAGTGGACAATTGGAAGTCCATGTGATGGTCCAGCGAGGGGAGTTCCGTATAGATTGAATAGGGGAAATAGTACCCATATCGAGTAAAGAGCTTATTGTTTCAGCTATCCGTAGCTACGGATGATGGGACTATGCACTTAGGCTTCTAAGTTCTAGCATGAAGCGCAGCGCTGGTAGTTGTCAATTCATCCACGCTCTTCCATTCACAGTAACTATCGTCCCGTTTCACTCCGTCGATCAGGTAAATCTTATGAAAACTCATGCAGACTCGAATTCGTATCTTTGAGTATTTACCAGGCTCATCTCACCCAATGTACTTCTTTCCCATCATCCAAGCATCCTTATCGTAGCACTTTGGCCAGACACCGCCTCTTCCGGGAGCTAGAATGCCATTGGGATCCAGGGTGTCGTGAATCTCCTCATGCATCTTCCACAGGGCACCATTGTTGAAGTCATAAGCATCCGCAACTTGGTCCATGAGACCCACGTGAGTCCTGAAGACGCTCCAGCCGCGAGCCTTCCACTCCTTGACCAGGGTCCGGCCCAACCACTGCGCGCGGCCACGCATGTCCTTGTCTTTTCTGTCATACGGAATGATGCATACATTGTCTGAGAGTGCGATGTCAGTTCATGTGAACTAAGTAGTGACTTCGATGATCCGATCAAGGGAGGACTTACGCATAGTCCGGAAGTCTGCGACGTAGTGGCTGATGTAGTCGATGCCCGCCTTGGCAAACAGCTCCTTTGCCAAGGAATATTGCTCCCAAACAGCCTTGCCTTCAAGTCTGGAAATAGCCGCGACCATGATGACGGAGCAGTTGGGCAGCCACTGCTTCATCCAAGCAAACTCTCCCATGGACGAGATACCTTAAAGGTACGTGGCTCTGACACGAACCAGGTTCTGCTCACCGGGACACTCGTCGAGCGTGGCCCACTTGCTACCGGGGACCTTGGTCAGCTCGTTTTTGATATCCTCGATGAGAGCCGCGCGGACTTTGTCGGAGCCGAATACGGCGCCAATGTAGCGCCACCGGCCCGTGTTGAGCTTTTTGGCCATCTTCTCAAAGTCCTCTTCGGGGATGACTTTCTTGTGAGAGGCATTGGTATAGCTGGACCTCGGGCCATAATGAGCAGCCTCCAATGTGAGGTTGCGCAAACTGACTGAACTCTGAAGCGTGCCGTTCTGTAGAGAGTCAGCTGGACCAGATTTACCTTCCAAACCTGGAAAGAAGTCTTACCAGATCAAGGGGCTGAATGCAGTCGACTAGGGCGGCCAGATCGGCTTCCTTCTCAAAAGTAACAGAAAACGGCGTCATGCCCTGCGGAGCGGGCATCAGCTATGGTCAAAGTTGTTAGTTCTCCCTTTTCGACGTTGTGATCGTACTAGGCCAGATTTCATTGGATGAGGCATCTCACCCAGAATCCCATCTTGGTGACAATGCCAGCATTGCCCTGCGAGAATAGACCGTCGTTCATTGGGCCCCAGCCGTACGGGAACAGAGCGAAACACTCATTGAGCTTCTGATCGGCCGGGTGAACGCCCTGCTCCGCCTGTTTACGGCCCTCCGGGTCCTGGATCGCTCCCATTCCCATCCTGGCGACCTCGCCGTTGGGCAGGACCACCTCCATTCCGCTGTGTTTTCCCCATCTATCACCGTACAAGGAAGCACCACCTCCGCGGTCCAGGGCATTTCCAATCATGGATCCCCAGCCGAGGCCTGACGAGTCTACTCTGATCTTGTCCAAGAGGCCGCGGTCACGCAGATAACTTTTTTTGCGGGAAGCTTGTCAGTCTCTCAGTTTCTGAGATTCTTTGATGGGATGATCGACGACTTACTCGCTCATTTGCATGAAAGTGACACCCGGCTCAACGATGCAGACGCACGCTGTCTCATCTAAGTGCAAGATGCGGTTCATATGCGTGCTGAGAATCATCACCAGCGATCCAGGAACCTTGACACAACCTGTCAGTCTTTCATGGTGGGATATAGGGGTGAGGTGCCGATTGTAGTGCTTACCCTTGGTGCCGAGCCACCGTACGCGAGGTTTCGTCCGGTGCTGATGGGCCATACGGGAACCTTTGACTCGTTGCACGCAGCAAGAACAGCCTGAATATCCTGCACGCTGCGCGGGTGACACAGAGCTGAGCCCACCAGCTCGCACTCATCGTCAAAGGAACGGTAGTAGTCGTGGGTGCGGCAGTTGCGTCCAAAATCATCATCTTCGTAGCCCTCAAAGTCACAGCCAGCCGTGATGACAGTGAAGTTCTCGCCTCCAACCGCGTGGATCACTCGGCGGGCGAATTTGGTGAATCCAGCCTGCGTGACTCCGGGAGGGAGAATCTTGGGGACCTCCACGTCTTGTTGCTGTTGTTGTTGCGTCGGCGCTCCGTTCTTGGCTCCGTTGCCGGCACCGAGCCAGAAGTGGCCACTGCTAAGATTAGGTGGAACAGCGGCAGTGGTCATGTTGGCGATGTGAGTTAAAACGTATGTTGAAAATTCTGAGAAACACAATGGGAGGTTAAAAAATTGAAGGCAGTGGTGGCGGCAATGGTAATAACAATATTCTTGGTGATAGCCAAAGCATATTAGTCGATGAAGGAGCTAACTTAAACATGTTTTGTTTTATATCTTCCCTCTCTCGAGATGCAGATGCGTTCAAAGCCGGTCCCTAACCGTATCACTGTTCACAATCAGTCCACGCCCCCTCTTTGACATCACGAACTTCAGGCAAATGCCTTTATGGGAAATAATTGCTCGTGAGTCTCCCTCGAAGAAGGCCAGGGACGGGAACCTAAATTCCGTCCCCCCCCGTTAAGTATCCTTTCCATGGGTGAAGGAGACTCTGATGGGGGCAAAGATACAAGGTGTCAACTTTTCAATGCGTAGGAAGATACTGCCGTCTTTGCCCAGCACGGAGCTCGATTCCGCCTACAGTCTAAGCGCTTGAGTGACATCTGCGCGCATGTCAATCTCGGACGTGCTCGTGGGCCGAAGTGTAGTCACTTTCGTCTGTAATTATTGGCCACTATCTTTTGGATTAGTTTTGGTCCAATGTTTCCGCACCTTACACGCGCTCCGCCATGCCGCTTGCGACCTCCTCGTACTGTGTAGGTATTGTGAGTAGCAATGCCCCTACGTTGCTTTTTCTACTGAAACGACGTTGAAAATACAAACACTACTACAACTGGAGTAAACCTTGTGAGTTCTGGTGTGCACGGCCTTTGTGGTTAAGCTCCCGGAAATCAAGACGGCCAACCTACATCGTCCCGGTCCCGGCCCCGAGAAGGTTGCAAGTGGAGTACTCCAGGTCGGCGTAGCCTGCAATGGAAGATGATCAGCAGGCATGGTGGACATACCCGCGGACAACGTAAATCCTCAGTTCTGTGACTTTAAACTACCTTACTATTCCCAGGTCCGGAAGCTGCGAAGAAGTTACTTAGTCTATACAGAGACCCACCACATGGTTTTACTTCAAAACCTTGGCAGCAGTCAGCCAGTCTCACGGTCGACGATATGCTCGCCAGATTGGACCATCAGCACAAGTGTTTTGAGCTTTCAAACATGTATCTTGCCTGTAACAACACGTACAGCGCCCAACGTTCTTTCGAATTCAACGCGGAAACGGAAAATAAGCAAGGCGAAAACTCCAGTCTACGCCACGGACTCGCAGTGTTAGCCTAATGCATCCTAATAGCAGCATGTACTTCAAGCGCTCCAGGGCGGTTTGAGAGTGCGATTTGATGTCGTACCGGGCTCGGCCCGGTGCCCCCGTAATAGGGATCCTATCAATAGCCCTCGCAGTGGAGAAACAAAAGTTCCTTGCAGGCTGTTGGCTGGTGTGTTCGTATTTATACTATCCAACTTGTGGGAGACATAAGTAAGCAACTGGACCTGTCCCCTTTTCACGGCATCATAGATATGCTACATGCGCCGACCTTTCCTATATTTCTTTTCTCACGAACCATCACTTAAAGCTTACGTCTAAGATGTCTCATTCTTCAGTTGCCGCAGCGCCCTTCTCACTTCACCCTGCTCTTTCATCTACTCCAAGAGGACATCAAACTCGTGACAATGATTCGCTGCCGCAAAGGACCCATGGAGTTCGCGAGAAAATGCTTTTGCAGCTCCATGGCCAGAAGATTCGCATTCCCGACCTGGGACGGCTGATGGAAGATTGGCCGAGAGACCAGAACCCACACCTCGATGCTGTAGACAGCAAAATTCTCCAGATCATCGAGAGGTAAGAGGACTTTATAGCGATGATCGGGATGTCACTGACCAAGCAATAGTCACGCAGTCAATGATGCCGTATGTGGTCGTCTAACTAAGGCCATGCTATCGAAGCAACTGACGGGCTGGTACCCATATGCTTCGTGCGATAGAATCGAAGCTCTCACTTCCTTCCAGGCCTGGATGTTCATCGTCGATGACATGCTCGACCAGTACTCGCTCATACATAAGTTCGACTTCGCCTCGCTGCATGTTCTTCTGGCCGATTGCCGGGACTTCATTAACCGTAGCCTCGGACTCCTCACTATATGTACCTCTGAAACCGGTCAACCACAGTATCGGGATTATGACGCCGTTGTATCATTTGCTGAGTATGCTGAAGCTGTCATGAAGGCCAACGGGGACAATTACAGCTATCGACAACGCATCGCCAAAGAAGCTACTGCCACCCTTGACGGCTATCGACAAGAAGCCGTGAACCGGTATGCTGGTCGAGCCACATCGCTCCAAGAATACCTCGGATACCGCGAGGCATCATCATGCATCATGCAGGTGGCCGTTAACCTCGAGTTCGCCAACGGCATCAGCCTCCCCGAGGAGGTCATGGCATCCCCAGAAATGCGCGAGCTGTACCGAGCTGCTGTTGCCATCGTCTGGATCGTCAACGACATTGTGAGTCTGCGCAAGGAACTCAAGGAAGGTTTCGTCGAGAACCTTGTTGTCTTGCTAGCCAATGGCGATGCGCAAAAGGGGCTAGATGGTGCTGTGACTCGATTGGAGCACGAAGTCTTTGCGCTCAACGACGCCGTCAAGGCTTCTGCTCGCTGCTTCGATGATACGCCATATAAGAATCACGTCACTCTGCTGGCGAAAAATTGCAAAAATATGTGTATGGCGAATTGGTTATGGAGGTAAGCAAAACTCAAGTCATCAATCCATGTGCTCGAATTTGACCGCGACGCGAAACAGTATGAAGACCCCCCGGTACTGTCTTTCGGACATCAAGCCCGATGCTGAAGGCGGGTACACGTTCACGGTTGATTCCACGTCGGAGGAGAGCTGATCTCTGTATTTAGTCGCGATGATGAACATGAGCAAGCATATCATGCATGGGTGTTGAGGTTCTGCAATTTGAGTAGAATTCTGGGCTGGTTGACGATTCTTGACTGAGAGCCCGGTCACTCTGTATGATAGAATTTCATCTTCGCCAAACCCCCTCAAATCAAATCCAAACACGCACTATCAGTATGAGTAATCATTGAAGCTGCACGCCAATCCTCGCACATTCATCCACGCATGGCGTGATTCATGGCCATCCAATTACCAACCTTTGCAGAATCGTGGGGCTCTCCTGTGATACTTCTGACTGTCGTCGATCAAGGTTTGAACGTCGGTATCGGTAAGTTATCTCAGCATAAGCTTTAATATCTCCAACGTGACGTACAATGGTTCGGTATTTCTTGCATATTTCACACTTTGTCTTTCATCGGTCGATCGATGGTTCGCTTTCGCTTAGGACACGCCTTAGAGCGTTCACCATCCACTAGAGAAGCGGCTTCACATGCTGTATCATTGTAAGTTCTACCTCACCGGAGCTGACTTGTCCGCGGACCTCCTTTCAAAAATTCCGACGGCCCGCCCGGAGCGTCCGGTGGTCCCGGTGTTCCACTCACGGCCTGCCAGCTTGACCAGCTGGCTTAATACGGAGTAGAGACGTGTGGGTAGCTCTCACACAATTAGGTTAGCCTTTGGCTGATTTCTTCAATTGTAACTATAGTCGGTCTTCATAGGGCGAGTGTGCTCAGCGACAGGGATTCGGGATCGTACCTCCTGCCCAGTGGGGTGTTGCCTGTCGGGACAGGTTCGAAGTGTAATGAATTAACCTTCATACCAGAAAACTCGCTGTTAATCTCAGTTCTCAAGTAGTCATTTCGATGTCAGAATGCCTACTCAATTACTCGAAAAAGCGGGTTGATGCCGCTCTTCGTCAGGGAAAGCTTCCCCTTTTACCTTACCTTGGGTATAGAAGCCAACACTAAGGCAGCACTTTTAGCAACTAGCTCGAGATGCTTCACTAGGGTTGCTCTTGGATGCCAAGAAAAAGGCACTTCCACCCACCCTGAAAATTACACATGCTCTCAGAACCGGATGGTGCGGCAAGCATCACTTCTCATTTCACGAGGAGTTCCGTATCGATTTCATACAGTTTCCACAGTTCGCTGCTTCACATCTGCTTCCGCTTATAGGTAGCGCCGATGCGTAAGTTCTTGTAGATAGGCAAAGTAATCTGTCACAATTCCATGCCCAGAGAGTAACAAAAGCTCTAAGGCAGGACACAAAAGCTATGCACAAGAATGGCTGCAAAGCAGCACCACGAACAGCGCTGACTATGAAAGTGACTCACGGCGACGCCTATGGCCCAATTGCTCAATAGAACTGCAGTCACCTAAGCACCTTATTATGATGGAATGTTGAGCAATGGGAAAACAAACTCTATCTAGGTCAAACAATTACCGACACAGAATAGACCCATCAGGATACCCGAACTTGGTTTCACAATTAAAGCAAGTCGCATCATTCGCAGTTGTTGTAGAACTGCTTTCCATCAATTTGGCCACCAATCGCTTTGAGCTGTTTTCATAAGTCAGTCGTACCGTTTCCCTGGGTACTGATCTAGCTGGACGTGAACTCACGAATCGTCTTTGGAACCTTGGTCCCGAACCAGATGATCGACCAATCCAGAATTGCCCCGAGTTTTGGCCTATAAAGCTTTTAGCTGCGCGACTCTGGTTGGCAAGAAACGCAAGACCTACCATAGGTGTAACCGAACCTGCAGTCACCGGCTAGCAGATCAGTGGCAGCATAGTCAACTGCTGAGTCGGTTTTGTATTGGCATGCGCAGTAGTCGTGCATGTCAGCCATGGGAAAAACCCCTCGCGAGCGTTAGCGACCTTAAGTTACGAGTTTTCAAAGGTGAATCTTAAGAACATACAGGAAAAGGGCCACGGCAGGAAGAACGGAGAAACGCATGTTGAAAATTGACTGTGATCGATAAAATGCGATAGACTGAACCAAGGCAGGTAGTGAAAATGCTTGATCGTCATGAAACGTACTTGATAGTTGCATTGGAATGACTGAAGAGATGCATCAAATGCTGCAGTGCATCAAATGTTGCAGGTTAGAATTCCGGCAAAAAGCGGCTGGGGACTTATATGCTCTATGGAATAGCGAAGTTGCGAACCCCGCGAGTTCCGTTCGCAAGCAATCATTATATTAGGCGTAAGTTTGATTGCATTCTCATGATAACTTGCAAGAGTCAGTGCCTTCGCTCAAAGTTCTGAACTAAGAGTTGGAAATATTCCACTAACAGAAGCTGCCACTCCAGTTCGGGAAGGCGTGCCGGAATCGCAAACGTTCTGGAATCAATCAGCTGACGTAAAAATATACTGGCTCGAACCCATACCCGAGCCTCAGTACCTTCAGCATGGCTCTCGGTACCATTCATCGGAACATCAACTATAACCTTGTCGGAAACTAGAGTAAGTACACCATTAAGAAGGTTCCCAGACTTAGAATATTGCTGACCTTTTCCAGGACTCTGACTGTGCTCCTTCAATGAGATGTCCAGGAGTTGAGGCCCATATGTTGAGTACCCAGGCTCCAATCGTGAACGCTTAGCTTCCCCGCACGCCTACAAGGTTGTTCAAATTGTTAGCAAATTTTAATGTAGTGTAGAAGCATCGCAATGCGTCTGGCTGTCAATAAGACGCACTTTGAGAGTTTATGGAGACAAGAAAGGAACAAACGTGCTTACGAATCTTATCAACTACTACATAGCGTCAATATGTATATACGTGCTTTTTGGGTAAGAACGAACTGCAAATCTATCCGACCCTGTCCTTTTCATCCACCTACTTTATGAATGGATTTGAGATAAAGTTGGAGTCGGCAAAAGACTGGAGACGGCTGAGACATCCTGGCAGTTGATGGGATAGATTGTCATCACCAGAGCTTAGAAGCTTGAGCTCATATGCGTGCTGATGGCAAGTCGCGATGACAATTGCAGATCAGTCAGTTATGTACTTTCCAAAGATATTATGTGTCGACGAAATGAAACCCATGTGATGCCTAGAGCAACACAACTCTCCATAAGTCGACGGCTTAGGCCACGGACAGTTGGTGCATCAACAAGAACCACACCAGAGCAAACAAAATGCGCAACACTGCTTGGGTTGGTACTTGTTAAAGCACGAAGACGGATCTAGGCACGAAGCCAGGCCACTGAACTGGAAGCACTGCTAAGACATTTATTGCAAAGGTCTCATGAGACTACCCATGAAAGATTTTAAGAAAGGAAATCGGGGATTCACTGGCTATGTTCGAGGAAATTACAACCAGGCCATATCTTACGGATTGTTTGCTTCAGATCCCATCTGCAACGAATGATATGAGCCTCACCAATCTAGATATCATGAGTTGCAATGGAAATTTGAGTCAATAATAATCTATGTTGTATTTTCACGCTGTTGGAGTGTTAAATGGATGCGGGACCCGAGTTGAGGCAAGTCAGAGAGACCCGAGTTCGTGCATTCAACGTGCCCTCGATGAGTCCTTCTGCGGGCCTGGCACCCTTGCAACTCGGTTGAGACATTATGATTGGTTCCAGATATCTCAAGTCGTCTTGGAGGCACAATTGCACATGCAAACCGATGGACGATGAATTACTTCCGGATTCGGAGTTCTTAGAAAATGAGTTATTTGAGATGGCCTTGTGCCCACATTGAAGAAACTCCAGTTCTCCAAACGTCAACCGGCACCTTCAACTTTCTTTAACTCCTTTTAACAAGGAACTATAAATCACACCCTACAATGTCTACCACTAGCACAGACAGCCTCCTCACGGAGGACATGCCACCCAACGCCATTGCTGTCGTCGGCGTGGGTTGCAAATTTCCCGGCGCCGACTCAGTTGAGGATTTCTGGCGCATGCTAGACGCGGGAGAGTCGAAACTAAGCGAACCACCCAGCGGACGCTTCCCTGCTCATGAACACCAACGTGACACGGACAAGACGGTATACTTCGGAAACTACCTTGACGACATTGCCAGCTTTGACCATCGTTTCTTCAAGAAGTCAGGTCGCGAAGCAGCGTCCTTAGACCCTCAGCAACGACTCCTGCTAGAGGTTTCCTACCAAGCTCTTGAGTCGGCCGGCTTCTTCGGCCCCCGCAAGCCCGACTTAGACGTCGGCTGCTTTATCGGCGTATGTGCGTCAGACTACAATGACAACGTAGCCAGCCATCCGGCCAACGCCTTTTCTGCTCTGGGGACTCTGAGAGCTTTCGTCCCCGGCAGGATCAGCCACTTCTTCGGGTTGTCTGGACCTTCAATTGCCCTGGACACGGCCTGCTCATCATCAGCAGTCGCCATCGACGCTGCCTGCAAAGCAATCCTGCACGGCGACTGCAAGAGCGCCATCGCCGGCGGTGTCTCCATTTTCACAAGCCCATTCTTCTACCAGAACCTGGCTGCCGCCTCATTTCTTAGCCCCACTGGCGCGAGCAAGTCCTTTGACGCCAGTGCTGACGGGTACTGCCGTGGCGAGGGAGTCGGCCTTGTCGTTTTGAAGCGACTTTCTGATGCGGTTGCCGACGGCGATAATGTGCTTGGTACGATACTCGCTACCGCTGTTAGGCAGAGCAGCAGCAAAGTGCCCATCACCGTTCCGTATAGCCCGTCACAAACGGAACTCTACCGCAAGCTTTTGACTACGGCTGGTATCGCGGCTGAAGACGTTACTTACGTTGAAGCTCACGGTACGGGGACGCCCGTTGGCGACCCCCTCGAGTTCGGCGCCATCAAGGAGGTCTTTGCCGGCGGGGAGAGAGATGTCCCTCTTCATTTTGCGTCTGTAAAAGGAAACATCGGTCATACTGAAGGGGCTTCTGGAGTCGCTGGTCTCATCAAGACTCTTTTGATGATGCAGTATCGCGCCATTCCCAGACAGGCGCATTTTCAATCTCCTCATCCCAAGATTAGCCTGGTTCCCGGGCGAATGTCGATCCCGACAGAAACCATCCCTTGGATTGCCGACACACTCATTGCTTGTGTGAACAATTACGGGGCAGCTGGTAGTATAGCCGCCATGCTCGTCAGGGAGCCGCCTTCGAAGACCGCCCTGGCACGGAGCTACCAAGACACCGCATCAAGTAACGTCGATAAATTCCCCGTAATCATTACTGCCAACAGTGTCAAGAGCCTCCATGAGAACGCCGCCAAGCTGTTAGACTATATCTCCTCTCTCCGCAGGGGCTCAGCTTCAGAGGTCGAAATACTGGCTGATATCGGGTTCAACTTGAGCGAGAGGCAGAATCGGACTCTCCCAAACATGCTTGCGACAACAGCCTCGAGCCTTTCAGAGTTGGAAAATCAACTTCAGGTTGTGGCTTTCAATCCCGAGTCACCTCTCTGCCAGATCAACCCCAAGCCCAATCCAGTTGTCATCATCTTCGGCGGCCAAACCTCCCGCTCTGTGGGCCTCAGCAAGCACGTCTATGACAGTTCGGCACTCCTTCGCAAGTATCTTGACGAATGCAACGGTATAATACAAGGCTTCGCACACCCGGGAATCTATCCGGGTATATTTGCGACCCAGCCAGTTGATGATGTGGTTTCGCTGCAGACGATACAGTTTGCCCTTCACTATGCCTGCGCTCAGTCCTGGATCGCTTGCGGCTTACAAATTGATTGCGTTTTGGGTCATTCCTTCGGTCAGCTCGTCGCTATGGTCGTTGCTGGCGTTCTGTCTCTTGCGGACGGCCTCAAATTGGTGTATGGGCGAGCCCTTTTGATGCGCCAGAAATGGGGCTCGGAAAGGGGCTCCATGATTGCTCTAGAGGCTGATTACGAGACCACAAAGGACCTAATCTCAACAGTGCAGAGACTGGACGTCTCTTCTGACTACCGTCTCGAGATAGCTTGCTTCAACGGGCCTTCAAGTCATGTTCTCGTGGGGTCTTCTGCTGCAGTCGATGCTGCTCACGTTCAATTCATGAGCAGAAGTCCTAAGGGCAGGGCCAAGGTCTTGAATGTCACGCACGGGTTCCACTCGAGGTTCAGCGACCCGATTCTTGCGGACTTGGAGAAGCTCGTCGAGAATTTGTCTTTTAACAAGCCCGTGATTCACTTCGAGACCTGCTCGATGGGAGAGACCTTGTTCGACATCACGGCCAAGCAAGTCGCCGATCACACTCGCTCACCCGTCTACTTCGAAGATGCCGTGAAACGTATTGAGGCCCGCTTCGGCGCATGCACATGGCTGGAAGCTGGGTCTAACTCAGCGGTTACTAGCATCGCTAGACGCGCTCTTTCTACCAGCAACACCGATGACCACCTGTTCTGTCCCATTAACTTGACTCGGGATGACGCGTTGAATTCGGTAGCAGACACAACCGTCAATCTCTGGAGGCATGGCCACCATGTTCAGTTCTGGCATTTCCACCATTTCCAGAAGCAAAGCTATCAAGCCCTGAATCTTCCTCCCTACCAGTTCGAGAAGACGCGACACTGGCTGGACTTCGACCTTAAGGCGGGGATCTCATCTGAGCTGTCCCAAGTGCCGGCGAAAGCGCCCGAGTCTCTTGTCGTCGAGCCAGAGCCAGAGCCGGTGCTCATTACGCTATCCGGGTTTCAAGATGGGGCATCCCGTGGCCCCAGAAATGCGACTTTTACCATCGATCCTCGTTCCGAATGCTGGAGGGTGCTCGTCAGTGGCCATGCTGTGCTGAACAAGGCACTTTGTCCAGCGACTATGTATATCGAGCTAGTCATGCAGGCCGCCAAGCAGCTCGCGGCCGTTGAGAACATCGCTTGTGCGCCTTTTGCACGTGTAGATGATCTGGAGATTTCCACGCCCCTCGGAATGGGGGAGGATAGGATCGTTCAGCTTGTTTTGAGTCCGTTGGATCAGATTGGTTGCAAGTTCGACTTTGCCTTCGTCTCACAAGAGCGTTCAAGTAGACAATCGCAGGTCACTACTACGCATGCTACCGGAAAGTGCGAAATAGTACCGTCAACCGACAAGAGCATCACGACTGAACTAGAACGGACCAGCAAGCTCCTTCATCGCATGCAAAAGAACCAAGATATGGGTCAGATGTTTACCGAGATGGCTACGCAGCCTGGAGGCGAAGCTGTCCAAGGCAAGCTTGTGTACAAGGTGTTCTCCAGGGTCGTTCAATACGGCGACATTTACCAAGGCGTCCGCAGAGTTGCCGGCAACAGCGACGGTGCCGTCGTTGCCGATGTTGTCTTGCCCAAGGCACAGCCTACCTGCACACAAGATCTCGTCTCTACACCCGTCGCTATCGACAACTTCTTCCAGGTCCCCGGTCTATACGCCAACTGCCTTGCTCCTTGTCCGCCAGATGATGTGCTCGTCTCTACATACGTCGACCGCATTCAATTGTCGCCTGATTTTGGCAAGGCACAGGCCGAAGGGAGCAGCCCTGGCTGGGATGTTTTTGCGATATCCACCGCTACGAGCGACAGGGAGAGCAGCAACGACATTTTTGTCACAGATAAGATCACTGGACAGCTCGTTTTCGTTGCTTCCGGAGCCAAGTTCAGCAGAGTTAGGATGGCATCTCTCGCCAAGATTCTGTCCCGGGCGAACCCTTCCGATAATTCTGAGGTTGTGTGTTCCAAAACATCCCAACGAAGTTCGGCGATTGCTATCAAGCCCGCCACAACTGAGGCAACGCCTTTAAAGGCTCCATCGCCAGCTTCCATTTCTCTTCCAAGCATCGCGGCTGCAGTCAATAGCATACTGCCATCTTCACCGCCGGTCCGCCTAGCGATTGCTCCGAGTGTGGCAAATGAGCTGCGTGACTTGCTGAGCAAGATGACAGACGTTCCAGCAGATCAATTCCATGATGAAACCACGCTTGAGGAGTTAGGCATTGACTCTCTGATGGCTACGGAAATCGTATCTGAGGTCAACGAGGTGTTCAAGATCTTGATCCCGCAGGATCAACTTCAGGATATGCAGACCTTCTCAGCCCTTTGCGCCTACCTCGATGGCTATGGAGCTCAACAAGCATCTCAGAGATATCAGGGGACCCCTCAGGTTTTGAAGAATCCCGTTGTAGCTGTTCCCTTCGACCAACCCACGAATCTGGCGGATCGAAACATCATCTCTGACTCTGAATTCCAGCCTCACGCGTCAGTGGCAGGGCCAGCCGTCTTACAAGAGCGAAACGAGCGCAGTGATTTGATACCACGACTAGCAGAACTGCTAGGAAACCATCTCGAGTGCCCGGCTACTGATTTTGATCGCTTGACGAATCTTATCGATCGCGGCCTGGATTCTCTTCTCTGCATGGAACTTATGAGCGACATGGAGGAGATGTTCGGAGTTTCCATCGACGCATCCTCTTTCACAGACACCTGCACCTTCGGGAACCTCACCGACATTCTCGTTAGCGCCGCCGCACCCGTTGACAATGCGGCAACGACGGAGCCCAGCACGGCCGACTCGTCCCCAACGCCGTCCTCTGGCTACTCGACAGACGGCACTGACTCTAGCGTCATCATCGACAACACTCGTATCCCGCTCAAGACAGAGCAGCTGCTCTCATATCCGGCCAGCCCAGCCCTTGCCAGTGCAGCTCAGGAGTTTGAGGGCATCAAGGATGATTTCGACAAGTTCGCCGCAATGTACGGCTTCAGTAACTTCTATACCAAAGTAGCCGACAAGCAAGCAGACTTGGTTCTCGCCTACGTCGTAGAGGCCTTCTCGGACCTCGGCGTTGACCTCAGTGCACTGAGGCCCGGCGACAAAATTCCTAAGATTCCAGTGATAGCGAGACATGACCGTATGCTGGGTGTTTTCCACCAAATCCTCCAACGCGGCAAGCTGGCCGACTACGATGGCAGGCAGTACGTCCGCTCAGAGACAATTGTCGACACCACGCCCTCTAGCAGCCGTTTCAAGGACATCCTTGCGGAGTTCCCCCAGCATGCCAAGGAGCATAACCTCCTGAATATCTGTGGTTCAAAGATGGCTGCGATTCTAAGTGGCAAGATGGATCCGCTATCGATTCTGTTCGGCACCAAGGCGAACCGCAGCGTGCTTGACGACGTGTACGCGACGGCCCCCATGTTCATCATCAATTCCCAACTTCTCACATCCTTCCTCGAGAAGGCATTGTCCAAGTCCACCCCTGGACCTGACGGGAAGTATCGCATTGTTGAACTGGGAGCGGGAACAGGCGCAACAACGCAATGGGTAGTGGACAGGCTTGTGCAGAAGGGGATACCTATCGAGTACACCTTCACCGACATCTCCTCCGCACTGGTTTCGGGGGCCAAGCGAAAGTTTGCCGGGCTCGATTGCATGAAGTATGGCACTATCGACATCGAGAAGCCGCCCGCGGCACAGCATCTTGGGCAGTACGACATCGTGCTAGCCACGAACTGCATCCACGCCACTACCAACCTGCACAACTCTCTGAGCAACATCAACAAGCTCCTGCGGCCTCATGGCTTCGTGTCGCTCGTTGAACTTACGACGCGAAACTACTGGCTGGACATGGTGTTCGGTCTCCTGGACGGTTGGTGGTTATACGACGACGGCCGCCCCTACGTGCTGGCGACTCCAGAATTTTGGGATGATACAATGAGGCAGGTCGGGTTCCAACACGTCTCTTGGACGGGCGGCCACAAACGCGAGTCTGAGGTCTGCAGGGTCATCACGGGTTTCAAGCAGCCTGTTCAGGATGCATCTCAACACCGCAGCATACCCCAGGAGAAGGCTGGCGGCGTTGAAACAGTCGTATTCACGCACACAGATAAGCGATTGCCGCTTCGAGCAGACGTTCACTACCCTTCACCATCTCAGGCGTCAGCGCATAGGAATTGGGTTACCGGTATGGTTTAAATCAAGAAGCTCGCATTTTGTACATAGACACTGGAGCTGACGATGCTCCGCTACAGGTCTCATAGTTCACGGAGGAGGGCATGTGATGCTGTCACGTCAGGACGTGCGGCTGCGTCAAATCCAACTTCTATTAGACAATGGTGTCTTACCCGTGAGCGTGGATTACAGGCTTTGCCCGGAGACGACCATTCTCAGTGGGCCGCTTGTTGATGTTGTCACAGCATATGCTTGGGCAAGAAACACCCTGCCAGACCTGAAGCTAACTCAAACGAAAACTAACAACCTTCTCGACCGCAACCGAGCTGTGGTAGTCGGCTGGTCTACCGGGGGCACCTTGGCCATGTCCTTGGCCTGGACCTCGGTACCGCGTGGCATCCCAGCTCCAGATGCGATCCTTGCTTTCTATTGCCCGACTGATTATGAGGACGAATTCTGGCGGAAGCCAAATGTCCCAGACCACTCGAGTGGGTTCGCAAACGAGACCTACAATGTCATTGACGGGGTCTCTCCTGCCCCCATCACCGCATACAACGTGCCTCCAAAGATGATGGCAGCAGCAGGCTGGATAGCACCAAAAGACCCTCGCAGCCGTGTCGTGCTGCACATGAACTGGCACGGACAGACACTACCCGTTCTTTTCCGTGGCTTGCCTTCGGGCTCGGACGTGCCATCACACGCCGCGACCGCATATAACAAACTGGAGCAACCCGCATTAGATGAGGTAGTGCGCGCAAGCCCTTATGCCCAGGTTGTCAAGGGCAACTACAAGTCACCGACGCACATTGTTTTCGGCACTGGAGATGATCTGATTCCATGGGAGCAGGCCCAGCGTACAGTCGATGCGATGAGAGATGCGGGCATTCAGTCGGGGCTTACTCTTGCCCCTGGTCAACCTCATCTGTTTGATCTCTTTCGGGATCCTGATGGGAGCCGTTGGGGCTATGTCATGGAGGGCTACAGATTTTTGCTTGAGAGAATCGGGAGAGATATTAAGTAAGACTATGGCAAACGAAGCTTCTTAGCTTTGGCGCCATTTTCTTCTTTTGTACAAGAAACATACTTTCACAACCATATCTTTACGACTAATCAATTTGCTGAAATCTCGCTTCGGACATGCTGAGAAGAAAACAATAACTCTCGAAGCAGGACTTTGGGAGAAAAGACTGTTTCCGCCGTCTCGCCCCTGTTCTGATTTCTACCAGCCTTGGTAGAAGTGGCAAATCTCTCCTTCTGGTGTCATCTCAGGAACGTGATCCCTGACACACCTTGTCTCTCGTCAGGTACAGCCGAGCTGATCTGGTCGGACCCGAGTTGTTCGATGAGCCGGCCAGGAAAGGCGCAGCCAATAACCCGAGTGATGCAATCTACGCCTGGTATCTAGCTACCACATTTAAGTCTCCATCGCGTAAGAATTGACCACCAGTATCATACGTCGCGAGAGCGAAAGGGGATACCAAGCTGACGATCATCAGCCATCCATCCACACATCCGTTACCACCGCCGCAATGTTTTCGGAAGGGCTCTTTGAGAAATTCGATGACAGAGCCTGTCGTATAGTTGGATTCCTGGCGGTCGTAGGCATATTCATCTTCGTTCTGGACAATGCGCGTTCCTACATCCGGTTGAGACACATCCCCGGACCACCTGCGGCAGCTCTCACGAACTTCATCCGTCGATCGTGGGTCAACACTGGCAACGCTCACGAAATTCACACCAATTTGCACAGCAAGTATGGCACCGTTGTACGGTTTGGTCCCAATGCCGTCATGGTCTCCCAGCCCGATGCAATTGAGAAGATATACGGTTTCAAAAGAAGATTTGAGAAGGTACGCGACGCTGGCATTGGAGCCCGACGTCCTTAGAACTCTCCGATGTTCATATCGTTGCAACACTAACCTCCAGTGCAGTCCGAGTTCTACGACTCAATAATGCCGAGGATTAAGGGCGGCAAGATTCCAGATGTCTTCGCTACTCGAGACGAGGATATACATCGGCGAATGAGGCGTCCCGTCGCCAATCTGTACTCGCTCACAAATCTGATGGCGTTTGAGCCGGTCGTGAACTCTACTATGCAACATCTGTTCGAGCGGTTAGACGAGCTGTTCCTAGACACGAACGTTGAAGTCGGCCTATTCAATTGGATGCAATATTTCATGTTCGACGTTCTTGGGGAAGTCACGTTCTCAAAGGAACTTGGATGTCTCGATAAAGGTGGCGATGTTGAAGGCGTCATTGAGAACAACTGGCGCTATTTCAACATGATTGCTGCAGTACGTGAGAATCTATGATCCCCAGTATGATTATAATGGAACGCTATGCTAATCGTTTGGCATACAACAGAATACGCAAATGCCTTGGCTTGACTACTTGTGGAGAGACAACCCTCTGATTCCCGTCTCGGCGAAAAGAAACCCGCTCGTAGAATTCGGTGCCGCTAGAATCAGGGAGCGAATGAATCTGCTCCAGAGCGGCAAAGGTGACCTCGGCCAAAAAGACTTCCTTTCCAGCTTCATCTCTGAGAATGCCAAAGATCATACTCTACCAGCAATGTATGTGCCTACATGTAGCATTTTGAGCCTCGCATGTAGTAATGAAAAAGTCTGGACTGACACAACTCGCAATAGGTTCCTCCCCACCTGGGTCAATTCTAATATCGTGGCAGGTTCAGACACGACAAGTATTCTATCTGGCGCCTTAATATACCATCTCCTCAAAAACCCAGCGTCGCTCGCAAAGCTTCAAAAGGAGATCGACGATGCCACCGCCGCGGGGCGACTCTCCAAATTCGCGACTTGGAAAGAATCCAAATCTCTTACTTATTTTGACGCCTGTGTCAAAGAGGCCACCAGGATGCATCCACCATTTGCCCTCCCGTTCGAGCGCGTGGTTCCTGATTGTGGACTGGAGATCGACGGGTACCACATTCCCCCGGGAACAAGAATCGGGATTGTAAGGCGACAATTCTTTTCGTCTTCTTTTTATGGCTTGAGTTTAAAGACACTCCGATGCTGACAATTTACCCCAAATCCCCAGAACCCGTGGTCGCTGCACCGCGAAGTGTCACTCTATGGCGCCGAACCGGACCTCTGGCGACCCGAGAGATGGTTGTGTGATGAAGAGAAGCACGCCTCCATGTACAATTCACTTCTGACTGTAAGTCTGACGAACAAGAAAGATCTCAATTGGAATTCGCGTTGACGTTATTGGCTTCACAAGTTTGGCGCTGGCCACAGAAGCTGCCTCGGGAAACATCTCGCCTATTTTGAGATATATAAGCTCATTCCCTCGTTGTTGCAACGCTACAACGTGAGTAGACTAGCATTGCCACTCATTTGAGAATGGAAATTAATCAAACCCCCGCACTAGATACAATTGGTAAACCAAAATGAGGAGTGGACTGTTGAGAACAAGTGGCTTGCCAAGCCTTCGGGATTCCGCGTCAAGCTTTCGACTCGTAGCTAGGGTCATGTAAACAGTTTACGAGAACTTTGCAGTGAAATCATGAATCAATTAGGTTTTAAAGCAAGTAAAATGAATTACCTGAACAGACATTGTTCGTTATTCTCCCACAGTTTCTCTCAAACATAACTTATCACTGATGCAGTTTGCCAACCCTATTCAACTGGACGTGCGTGTGGTCTGGACTGGAGAACTATTTTCTCATCACATGATTCTGAAAAAGAAATTTCCGTTGGCTTCAATTGTCTAATTGTAGCTAATCTGACCGTGCGCCATCCCTCGTTCGTGAAGCAGCTGTGTAGACTGGGGCGGTGCAGGTTGTCGGGTCCGGGGCCGAGTTGACTTGGACTAAGCCCTCAGTGTATTTGCATTGGTGTTATTAGTTGGCTTACACAGTATGTGCTGACAGGCCTCGCATCCTACTTGGCATGTCCCAACACTAGCTGGGGCACTTGCCTCAGAACAACTCTTCCGGTTCATAATTGCCCAATGTGGTCCTTATACTAACTCGGGTCCCGTCAACCCAGTTAGACCGGTCGCAAATCGGCCAACATCAGCTCATCTCCACCACCATACATTGCGCTGGAAAGTATTTGTACAGTAAACGCCTTCGTGCCTCTCTGAGTTGAATGATTACTCTTTAGTCCGTGTTCATTTGTCCTAGCCCATGATGCCTGGACTTACAACCCAAACCTTAGTCCAATCTGAGAAGCCTGAGAAGCCACTCGTGGTTTGGCAGTCACTCAAGAAATGTCTTCCGCCAGCGGAAAACAAGGATGTTGAATTCTGGTGGAATCTCACTGGGTATCATCTCGCAGTTATGATCGACGCGGCAGGTTACTCTACCCAGCTACAATATGAGACCCTTCTCTTCCACTACCACTGGATTGTAAGCAGCTTGCTTCGTGCTCTTTCGCATCTTTTGTTACGGGTTGGACACTAACTCGACAACTATCCAGGTCCCTAGACTGGGCCCAGCGCCTCACCCTGATGGCACTGCGGTCTTCAAGTCTCTGGTCGCTTACGACGGCTCGCCATTTGAGTACTCGTGGAAATGGAACACCACGTCCAGCGAACCCGACATCCGCTACTCCTGGGAGGCGATCAACAACTCCTCAGGAACCGCCGCTGACCCTCTGAACCATGATCCCACGCTCGACTATATGGAGAAAGTGCCAAGCGCCCTCTCGGGCGTCGACTTCTCATGGTACCGCCACTTCCTGGCAGAGCTGTACAACCCAGACAGGTCCGTCTATGCCAAGGAGCTGGAGGACGGCGAGCCGCCAGCGACGACTCTGATGCACGCCGTTGAGTACAATAAGAAAGCCAGCTTCGGGCTCAAGTCGTACTTCCTCCCGCGGAAGCTCTTCCAGGGCGGTGACCCCGCGACGCTAGGGGAATGGGACGCCGCGATCAAGAAGTTAAATCCGGATGGCAAGCACCCGGGCAGAGACGCCCTGATGCACTTCCTGGCCAACAGCCCTGAGGGCCGCCTCATGAAGCCCAACGTCATGGGCATGGATAACGTAACGCCGTCCAAATCGCGCCTCAAGATGTACTTCACTTCGCGCCACACCTGCTTCAACTCGGTCCGGGAGGTCATTACCATGGGTGGACTCCGCGACGTCTCCGAGGCCAGCCTGCAGGACCTGCGCTCCCTCATCCTCGCCATCCTCGGCCTGCCCGAGGACTACCCTGAGGACGCCGAGTTCGCTCCGGCGTCCGCGAGCGGCGACAACAAGTGGGACGACTTTGATGCGCTGTGTGAGGGCTTCACATACTTCTTCGACATTGCACCCTCGAGCGGCACGCCCGACGTAAAGTTCTACCTGCCCACGCGTAAATACGGCCCCGACGACCTGACGATTGCGAGGAACCTGGTCGCGTGGCTCCGGGAGCGTGGCCGTGGAGCCTACTGCAACGAGTATCTCGCCATGCTAGAGAAGCTTGCCGTCCACCGCGGGCTGGAGAACGGTAAGGGCATGCACGCGTACATCAGCTACCAGTGCACCGACAAGGGTGAGCCGGATATCAAGTCTTATATTTCTCCCGAGTTGTATCATAAAGCGAGGTACCTCTCCGCCTAGGAATGTCTAGCTAGGTTCCGAATGACGAATAATTAGTTTTCAAAGCCCGCGTTGAGTCGATTTTGCGGGTGGTGAAAGAGCGGTGCCGCGATCCTCTAACTTCACTTCACGAACTTCCTCCCATAGACACCGCGCGGTATTATCATGCAGTGTGTATATCCACGGAAATCCACTGAGATGGTGGTGAACGTTCGCCCAGTCGCGCAAGTCAGAACGGTCGCAAGTCTCCGCGATTGCAAATAGCAGCCAGCTGTGGTCATTGACTTTCAGAACCGAGATAGCGCTCATGAAAAGGATCCACAGCAGCAGTGAAAAATGGCCAGTTTGCGCGTCTTTGTGCGTCGAATAGAGCTCTCGAACGGCGTTCACTAGACGAGTGCATAGAAGCGACGAACTGAAGTTATCACGGCAGTAGTTGGGAAGCAAGCCGGTCATGAAAGCCAGCATAGCGAGACGTGCTGCGTCGTCGTAGAGGCCTTCCGAAGCAAGCAGGGGCTGACTGAAAGGTTCACCTTCCAAGAGACGGTATAGGAGTGATATGAGCGTTTCTGTGTAGTCTAAAGGGTTGAGCTTGGATCGTCCGTTCTTCACTCTGTCATTGAGGATGCCAGCGAAAACGATGAGATCTAGCATAATGCGGGGCAGTCCAGGAGGACAGGCAGAAAGCTGCTCTTTGACGGTGCTAGAGTTGCACAAGACAGTTGTCACCGGTACTTCCGGACTATCAAACATCGTAGGTGACCCGTTTTGCATAGACAATTCGATATCGAGCCTGCTGTTTGTGAGTATTCTGTGCGTCGAAGATTGGATGTCAGATTGTGAAGAAGCTGCTTACCTGAGTGGCTTGAGGGCCAATGGACGGTTCTCCTTCATCAATCTGGCGATACCCCCGCGTAACTCAATCATTCGATGAAGCCCTCTGAGATGCACGAGGCCGGTGGAGTGTTGCTGGTGTATCTGTTGGTAGATGGCGAGGGTGACGACAGCAGCAATGGCGCTATCCGATATGGCTTGGGGGCCTGAAAGTTTGAGGTTGACCAGCGAATATGCCTGACATATGTGATGCAAAGTCTTTGACGACGTGGTAGGCTTTCGTTCAAAGAAGTCAACGTAGGATGCCGACACAGCTAAGGTCGAGTGAAAGTCTAGGGCGGCGGTGAGTTCAGTGTAAAATGGGAATTCGTCCGCCATGAGTTACTCACAAGCTTCATCTACCAGTATGCAGTTGACCCAGATCGATTTCAATATATCGAACTTGTAGCAGAACTGGGGAGGAAATAGCGCGTCACTGATGTCTAGGAACCCTGGAAGAAACAAGCAAGTTAGAGAAGCTTCATGATAAAGGCTAGGGTGGTTGCAAGGGGTTGGGTGAGCCGTACACCGATGCATGAGCCTAGTGGAGTCAGGATCGAGCTCTTGCGGGAACGATGTTAGACAGAAGTCATTCCAGAAAACCCGTCGCGGTATCTTCAGCTGACGCTTGATGGGGGCATTGTTCGTTTGTTTTCGTGTCGAGGGCCGTGGTCTGCCGGCATTCTTGCCCCTCATGACATGAGACCGAAGGGCGCGACGGTCAGACTTGCCTATCCCGGCCGCACTCTGTTCAATGAAGACCAACGCAGGGCTCATCGTGGTCGCTCAAACGGTCTGTTCGATGTCGGTAGTGAAGATTACGGCAGGCGGGGTACTCTCCCTTGGCGGTCCATGAACTCAGCTGTTGCCTGTCTCCAACGGGGTGGGCTATTTTTAGACTACGCTAACCTGATGTCGGATTTCTTACATGTTAATCCAACCTTGCTCCAATCACAAAGGGCGAAACCTCACATTACATCTTTATGGTGATACGAGTTTAAGCCTGTTGTCCTGCTCAATCAAAGAGCCTCATGCAGTCCAAATCTAGTCATTCTTCAAGATCGACGCTATACTAAAAGTAGGCGCTAGCAGGGCACAGTGTATAATGGAGATCTTGAAGAAAGTTTAGGAGGAATATTTAGATGATGGCTTCACTTATATCATGTGGCTAGTTCGCGATTTTCTAACACGCTTTGATGGGATTTGATACAAGCCATTACTCAATTTCTAGCAGTAGCGAATACAACAATCTCAGTAACCAACAAAAAGTCTATGCATCCCTCGAAAATGTTCTCGATAGATCATGGCCACTCTAGCTCCAGCCCGCAACGTTAGAAGGAACTGGGTGGTATCCGTTGAAGAAGCCACGAGGATCGAACTTGTTCTTCAAGCTCGTCAAACGCTCATGACGCCACTCATTGTATCCGTACAGAGCTGACAGAGGCTCGTCCTCGTTGGCATAGTTCTGGTAGACGTAGAGCTTGTCGTAGCCCGAAGAGCTAGGCTCGGCAAACTTATCGCGCCACTCCGCGAAGAAGTTGTTCACAGCGTCGGCAACAGAGTCGTCCGTGTACGAGCCAATAGACTCAATCACGTTCTCAAAGTGGTCGCGATGGGGGAAAGCCGAGTAGTCATCGGCAAGCGCCTTGACTCCCTGCACGGGGAAGGTCTCGATCATCATGGCCGAGCCGGCAGCGAGAGGGTTCGCTACTAGGAACGTCTCAAATGCGTCGGTGAAGCTGACCCAGGTAGCCGGGTTGAGGACCTTGGTGTTGAGGGCGCGCAGGTTGTATCGCGGTCCAGTCGCGCAAGATTGAGGGATGAGACCATGGACCGTCTTCGTGGGCAGCTCTTCCCAGCCCAGCATGTTCTCTTGGAGATCGACGCTGAAGGAAGAGAAGCGTTCGGTATACTTTCTGCCCTCTTCCTCCGGTCCAGAGTAGACCAGGTTGACTATGACGGTGATCTTTGGAGAGGTAAGCAAGGAACAATAGTGATAAGCTTGATAATGACACCCCGACGTACCTGAGATGTCGTAGCATCCAATGCGAAGAACATGAGGACGGCCAACTTTTCATCCAGACCTCCCGCGGTCAATTCATTGGTGATCTCCATTACACGTTGCACGGAGTCCTTGGTGAAGACGAGGTCCGCACTGTAGTGCTTTCCTCCATTCGTCGCCGGCCAGGTCTCGTACGTCGACTCAATGACGATGCCGTAGTTTTGGCCAGACCCCCTGATTCCCCAGAAAAGATCGGGGTTGACGTTGTTGGAAGCCTCAATGATGGTTCCGTTCCACAGAGCCAAGCGGACCTTGCGGAGGGCATCGCTAGTCAAGCCGTGCAGGCCCTGAAGGCGACCGAGGCCACCGCCCAACATGGCGCCTGTTGAACCCACACATGGGCATGATCCCACAGCTATTATCTCACGAGTTAGAAAATACAAGCATTTCATTCTCATCTTGGTGTGGCTTACTTAGTTCTCGCCCAGCGGCCGCTACGGTGTCGATGAGATCGCTGAAACGGACACCAGTCCCCACGACCGCTGTGTTGTCGTCTTGCAGCTTGACGTAATTGAAGTTCTCCAAATTTATCAAGACGGCGTCTTGGATGGCGTGGAGAGACGGAGCATATCCGTGACCTCCAGACTTGGCCAGCCAGGTCATGTTGTTACCGGACATGTACTCAAGCTATATTCACGGAATCCTATCAGTCAAAGCTTCTTGCTGTCCAAATAGTTCCAGCCAAATGGAACAATACTATGTGTGCCAACTTACAGCAAGGGAGAGCTGTTCCTCAGTTTCGGGAAGGAAAACCTCATCAAAGGTAGGAGCCTTGTAGGACGACCAACGCGTCGTCTTTTCGCCGAAGCTAGCCCAGGACTTATCGTGTACCAGGCTAGAAACTTCCGTCGGCCATACGATTTGAGAATCGTTGCGAGGATAGAATGTTGAGAAAGTCAGGGGCGTGCTTGATGCCGTCTGGATGAAGGCCAAAAGAGCCGGTAGGGCTTGAAAGATCGCGTGGCGGGCCATTTCAACTACTATGGGAACGAATGTGCGTGAGTCTTCTTGCTGTTCAGGTTTCTTGGATAACACATCAAAAAGATTAGATTTTGAAACGAGGTCCTTGAACTTTTATATCCTTCCCACTCGTAACTGTTCACGATGGTGGCTTGCTGTGCCTCAGCCGCCAGGCCCCCCATCATCAGATATGAACCTATTGTAGGGCCATCGTGGATAGATTGTTTTGCTCCTGAGACGGGGCGCAGCGCTTTCAAGCGATGTCAGGCTCTTCTGTGTGCCCCGAAGTGGTGATAGTTTGGATGAGAACATTGTAGGATTCTTCAGTCAGGGTTCAGCCGCTATCCTTCCCAACCCGATTGGGAATGGTTTCTCGTTTGGGGGCCTCGGCAAGCTGAAGAATAGGGCCCAGTCTCAATCCAGAAGCCGTACTTTGCGAGATGTAATTTATTTTGGTCGAATCGAGGCCCCGAGGCGCAATCCAGAGGCATTGTATACGTCCCTGAGGGATCACTAGTTCGAGGCAGCCGCATTCACCGATCCTTCCGTCCCGATAAGCGGATATACTAAGACCATATGAAGCTTGTAACACAGGGCTGTGAGTGCTTGAGCGCTTAAGGCGAAGCCGTGACAGCCGTTCGGGACTGAGGAGCCAAACGCATCAGCCGGAGGCGTTTTCCGATGGGTGCCTGCCTAGAGCGGATAGCCCTTGTGTGAGACTGACCGGGACGAGAGGGAACTTCAGTTGATTCTGCAAGGGCGGCGTAGCCAGCATCGATGATCCGGAGGACGAGGGGCGACAAAGATGGGCGTTCGTCCCAAGATTCTCACCCCCCTCACCCCCCTCCTGCTCCGCCCGAAGTAGCGAATCGCTTCGCATGGCCTCTAAAAGGTGGGACCGGTCTGGAACGAAGAGCGAAGAACATGATAACAATAGTATCACTTGTTCCTAGTTCGAGTTCTCACAGATTTGTGGCTTACTGGGCTTCTTGATCGTTGACTCGGGTCCGCAGGGCTGACAACTCGGGCCCGAGACCCACAAATCTAACTCGGGTCCCGGGCCGCGGGGCACTAGTTTCCGGCAAAGCATACTCCGCACTAGACCGGAACCTGTCGAATGCCTAGTCGGACGTCAAGTGAAGCCTAATTTGCGCAATCAAACCCATCGTTATTTGGTAAATCAAGCTGTTCGAGAGGTGACATCGAAATTCCGAACACAATTCTTACCACCCTCACATTCCCCAACTTTGACGTTGATAGAATTCCTACCTTAGCAAGCCATGGGTTCAGCCACAGAGATTCCAGCATACACTAGAAAGACCGTCTTGGTCACTGGAGCAGCTGGGACACTCGGCCAAGCGACCGCAATCTCGTTTGCTGCCGCAGGAATTGCCCGTCTTGCCCTCGTTGACCACGTCAACGTTTCGGATACCCACGAAAAGGTGGTCCAGGCAGCCATCGACGTCGGTAAACCGGCACCCGATGTGCTTGCTTTGACCATCGATGTCTGTGATGCCGCGAGCGTCGAAGCAGGCGTGCGAGAGGTGAGCTCGATGTGGGGTCATGTCGACACTTTTGTCAACATCGCAGCTTCTTCGCCTAAACCCGTCATCCCTCAGGGCGATGTAACTGGATTGAGAGACGTGGATACCTGGTGGAAGGTCTGGGAGGCCAACGTCAAGGGTATCAGCCTCATGGCTCGGGCCCTGGTGCCCCTTCTTTCGCGCAGCTGTGAAAGGACGATCGTGAATGCGGTTCCTGTGTTCTCCGTCAATCCCGCGGCGCCTCCAAGCGACAATCAATTGTCCATGTTGGCCTCTACGCGGCTTTCTGAGAGTTTGATGCTCGACTTCGCGCATGAGGGCGTCCTTGTTTACTCTGTGAACCCAGAAATCAATCTGGAGGGAAGAATGCCAGAGGCCACGAGACAAGGTAAGTAAAGCTAGTGACGATCCAGGTTCCAAAGTATAAGAATGTTCTGGGTTAATGCTGATACTTGCCAGTAATCAATACTGAATGCGGCGATGTCATTGTCCATTTGGCCGGCAAGCGGCGCGAATGGCTTGCAGGGAGACATATTGGGAGCGTGGAGGACTTGCTTGAGCTGCAGGTCCGTGACGAAGACTTGGATGGCAATCCTCTTCCAAAGATGCAGCCTCCAACTGAGATAGTTCCTTTCAAAAGTGAAACTTTTGTGCCGTCCTGGACATCCAGGAGGGGAAGAGTGCCTCGTAGTAGTTACTGAGAAATTTAGTATATCGTTTCTACCGAGGACTGATGGTCTTTCTTGGTTAAGGCATGCACGACTTAATGGGCAATGTCAGGGGAACTCAGAATGAACTGTAACCGGCGTTTTATCTACAAATGTAGGCTGTTTCTTTGGTGTTTTTATTTCTTATTGACGTTGTATTTAAGGCTTATAACCGGGGACTTTGATAACAATGTGATCGTTCCCACTCTATAAACGTTTTTTTGCAAAGTTAGTAGACTTGATATATTCTGAAACACATCATAGGATACAGCCAGCTCCTATGGTCTACTTACCTAAGGTACATAGCATTGAGTAGTCTTATTTGAAAGCAGCCAACATCTATAAACGAGCATCAGCATTTGTCAGATTAGAAGTCTAATTTAACCGCGGCGTACGGCCGACTACGCAATAGCCAATTAGGGGCCCTATTTACGATTATCATAGCCAGCCTAGGTAACCTACAGTTAGAACCTCCTTTTTACACCTACGCAAAAATTCATATAGTTCAATTGATCTCTTCGTCAACCTACGGTTCGAACCAACTACCCTGTAATAGGGATACCAACAGCATTCAAGATTTAGGATTGATGTAAAGTATTTGCCAGAAGAGAATGCATTCGAGTACAAGTAAATTAATCAGGGTATCTTATATCCCCTACAGCCTAACTTCCTAAAAGTCAATATCACGTCTACGAAATCTGAGAAATACATCCAGGCTGCACCTGCTCCAGCTTGGCAACGAGTTCCTTCCATGTCGCCTTCTGCAAGCGCTGGCCCTCATCGTTACTAACCCAGTCTGGCACCCAGAACTCCTTGATCTTGCAGCCTGAAAGAAGCTTTCCATGACCCTCCGCGCCAACTACCAGGCCGTGCAGGATGGTGCGACTGCCCACTTCCGCTGTGCGGGCCATCATAGCCCGGACCGCCTCATGCATGATCTTGGTAAATGTCCTCGCATCACGTCCCAATCCGGTGGTGCAGAGACCAGGGGCAACCATAGTAATGACCACGCCCGTGCGGTTTACGGGAAACTGGGCCGCAAATTGACGAACAGCAAATTCCTCGACGAGCTTTGTGAGAGCGTACCTGGTAATTTTGCGTCAGTCCCGCAACATGCCGCCTTTTCTTTCTTGGACCTTCCTCTGACGTACCTTGAGTCCATGTTTGCGCGTTTTTCGTCGTTGAGTCCGTCAAAGACGCTCCCATTGCGACTCTTGTCCATCTCCGCCTTGACGGTGTATCCCAACACGCTGACAATGAAGACGAGCGTTGGCTCGATACTGAACTTGCGAGCGCTTTCGCTCAGCTTGGGCATCATCAAGGCTCCAAGGAACAACGTGTTGACGACATTGACGAAGATACTGCTCTCGACGCCTTCGAAAGTCTCCCACTGGTCGATCATGATGCCGGCATTGCAGACGAAGCCGTCAATCCTGTCCAACTCCTGTGAGATCTGCTTGGCAAAGGTTTGAACGGCAGCATAGGTTGATAAATCCAGATGCCGCACCTTTTGCCACCAGGGTTCTAATATTAGTCTATCTTTCTCGGCCGTCAGTGGTTGGGGAAAATCGAGGTTACCTGTACGACGCCCTTGCGTCCTGTCGACTTCTCGATATCTGCCTTAGCTGTTTCTCCAGCGCTAAGATTCCTCACTGCCAGGACAACTGTCGCGGCGGACGAAGCGACGAGGTATCGCGCAGTCTCCAGGCCCAAGCCGGAGTTGCCTCCGGTGATGACATAGGTTTTTCCCACGCAGGAGGACTCGTCCACCAGGATGGGGAGCTTCCTGTACTGCTCTGCAGTCAACCGTAGCATCACCATCTTTGCAACTATTATTCAACAAACGAATCGAAATTTAAAGATTTCTCGGAACGACAGAGAAAGTAGACTTTGGGGCGAATTCAAGAAGGGCGATGTGCACGGAGTCTTGGGTATGCCGGAAGACACGATACCGGCGTGTTCACGACACGGCTGTCATCTTTTATATCCAAAGCAGGCAGCATCTTACGAAGTCTTCCAGAGACGAAGGTAGTGTCAAGGCTACGGCATGGTCTCGGAACCACAATGGATCCAAAGCACATGGCATCATTTTGTTCAGTCAGGATGTGAGTTCAAGGTAGAAGTGGCCAATCACAGGAACAGATCTAGATCTATCCAATGTGTGGGTCTCTCAGCAGCCAATTAGATATTGCTTTCTACTCTAAGACTAGCGTCTACGGACCGGTCCCTCCTGCCGACCTGTAACCCGAGCCAATCAGATATTGATTGCCTCTTCGGGGGGCGGACAGGGAAATACAAAGATCAAGTTCCTCCATCCTCGGACTTTTGTCCAATGAAATATGCTCAGATAAGACGATAGTATCCACCCTTCGGATACTTAGCTTGCGGCTCCACTGTCAGCTTATATGTATCCGTAGACTTGCACATGAAGGGGTATTGAATCCTTCCACGTCGTAGAACCCTTGAAATGATACTTTAAGCTACCTAAACAAGGTAGTCTGTGTTGCGTGATCCCGCCAGCCTCAACCGAAGTACTTCGTACGGGCGATTGCAGGCCCAGCCCGCCCGATGTATTAACAGGGAGCAGGGTCCTATCGCCCTACCCGTCCGCCACCCATTGGCGGCTTGGCCCAAGGCTCCTCCGTGCCTGCATGTGCACATTGAAGACTTCCAAGCCTTGATAGCGTGACTACCTCTGTGTAAACAATGATTCATTGAGTGCCTTACATTTTCTCTGACCTGCGGCGCAGTCTACCCTCGTACTGCGTGTGGTCCGTAAGACCATCCTCCCTCCACGCATCCGAAGGGGTCCCTGTCTATCTAGCTCTAGACCCTTGTCATAATATCCTCGAGAGCGCCAAGAACCAACACATTTCTCAGACAGAATTTCCAACAAATTAGATCTCTTCTGCCTCCATGTAGCTATCAGATTCAACTTCGTCCCTTGTCGTTCCGAGATGTCACCTGCGCCAGCCAGCTCGCCCGGAGGCGACGGCTGAGTAAGGGAGAGCTGGCCTGTACGTGGATCTGACATACAGCTAGCGCGGCAGGGCGTGCATACCGTACCTTACCGGTCGGGAACCTTCGTCTGATTTATCCGTCATCCCCCGGAGGAATTGGACCCTTGATCCGGAAACGTGTCGCAAACTTGCGGGGTGGGTTGAGGTGACGACGAAACGGGGAAAGCAACATCCACATCACCCAAGCATGCACGAAATCCGATGGCGAAATCTATGGTCTGACAGGATCTGGATCAAATTGGGCATATTCTAAGCGGCTCTTCTGCGCTTGCTTGAGCTGCCTAATGTGACGCTACCTTCTTGGGTTCCCGTATAGGGCTAGCCGTCTGGCGCCCGTTGCGGTATCAAATCATACGACAGGATGGTTCATCTAGAATGCTGCAGATACAACCGATTCGAGGAAGGTGAAGGATTGCATAGTGTCACACCAAGCAAATTTACTACATACTAAAAAGAAACCCCCTTTGCCTAGGAGCCTGTAGAAATGGTCTCGGTAGGATTAGGTGATGACTGGCGCATACATGTAGCATTGGCTTTCATCTCCTCTGCCCGGAAAAGGCGACCCCTGCTTATTGTCGCTACCGCTGTTGCAGAATACACCGAGCTCCAGCCTCTGAACCGAAGTTCTGCATGCAGAACTGCGCTCATTTGATTCCTTCGCTTACGAGCCAGGGCGCGGCACAGTGGAGGTCCTCGAAAGTAGGCTGCGCTGGGAAACGATGGAGGCGCGTTCTAATCATCGCCCCCGTTCATCATATATCTATCTAGATACCAGCTCACATGCGGTACGTCTTTCTCCATAAGAGCGAATCAGACAGTGAACCTTTGTAGACCACTTCAAGCTTCAGGCTGTCTTCATAGAACACTACTGGCATCTGCTTATCTTGTCCTCGCTTTTACATAAAATCCGGAAAACAACATGGCTCCTACCAGAGAAAGAAGATGGTGGACGAGCCAAGAAGATGACATACTCAAACGAGAGGTGCAGGGAAAAAGTACCAACCCCATCTGCCCCCTTGTTACGCGTGCTGCCAAATCTAACAAAGATCTCCATCTCCCAGTGCGCCAAGGCGGGAACGTCCAAAACTGGAACGACATCGCCATGTCATTACCGGGCCGTACCAACAAGGACTGCCGCAAGCGGTGGGCAAAGATCCAAGTCGATATTCGAAAAGGTGCTTGGACACAAGAAGAAGACGAGAGGTTGCAGAAGGCCGTGGCGCAACTCGGGTGCAAGTTGGTTCACCCCACGCTTCCCTATTACCCATTTCTCGGGTCTCATCAATGCTAACCTCCACCCTTGTCATAGATGGTCACAAGTAGGGGCCATGGTTCAAAGTAGAAATGCCGACCGTAAGTAGAAATCAGCGTCGTTAATATCCCACCATTGTTTCCCCTTCAGTGCTGAGGTGCATCCTTGCTGCAGAATGCGCGAAACGTTGGCAACATGTATTGGGACCCGACGTTAAGCATTGTTCATGGACCCCCGAGGAGGACAAGAAGTTGTTGGACGCGATGGGTAAGTTTGGAAACAACTGGAAGCAGATTGGTCTTACCGAGCTGCCGGATCGTTCCACCCACGATCTACGCAACAGGCAAGTCGAAAAGTCTGAGCCATCTGCATGGATTTACGGCTGACCATGGCTCACAGGAGTCTCATTCTCGGCCGCAGGAGTCGACATGCACAAGCTAATGACTCGAATTCCTCTTCACGGTCATTACCGGAGACCCATGACGAGGAAATGGCCAGCAGTAGTCCTGACGTTAATGATGAGGACGAGAGTTGCGAGGGTGACGGTTACGACGTATTTGATGAAGGTTCCGAGTGTGAAATGACCGACTCAAGCGAAAATCAGAAGCATCAGCTCGTGATGGACATGAGTCTCCTGTCCGATGAACCAGTGGAGGCAACAGAACTCGGGCCCACGTCTACGATCATACCAGACTACCGTCACTCAGACACATTCTTGCCAGTACCCGCTCTGGAGTTGCCAGGTACTACTTTCGACATGTTCGACCCGAGCTGCATAGGCACCTCAGATCACTCATCGGGGAATTCGGCTATTCAAACTCCGGATAGCGATTGGATGTCTTGGCTCAATTCGCTTGAGAATGACACCTCAGTTTCGCTGGATTCCCGGCCCTCATGGTGGGATGAAGGTCCCACTGATCAAAGTTACTTTCATGACTCCAGCTATGGAAGTTTTGATGTCAACACGGCTGGTATTTCGGATACTATTCATATCTCAAGAGCAAGGAAACGTGTCAAAGGCGAGGCTTCTCCAAGAGCTTCTCTCAGGTCAGTGACTCGCGCTGAGAACCCATCGAAGGACAATGGACAGATGGGTCTTGTCACTTTGTCTCTGGACCAAGTAGACCCGATAATCGCCAACGAGATAATAGGAAGCGTCATGAAGCACAGCGCTGGTCTCAAGATCAACTGTACCGTCAATAATCACCCATAAGTCTCGAGTAGTGTATAATACGCATGCATATATATTTGTACCGCGCATACGCGACCATATTGAATGGATGAACTCATGACAACTCCTCATAGAAGGCAAATTGATGGCGTGACACATATTTTTTGTCTCTCCATACTGCTGAAATTATGTGCCAAATCTTTGCACACATGATCCTCGACAGACATCGTCATAATTCTGGTCCAGGAATTTCAGCAAGGACCCGAGTTCTGCTACTTCTGCGCCCAGCGCAGTAACCCGACTTGGGTCCAAGTACATCTAATTGGTTCAATCAAATGTCCTATTGTTTGTAGTGAGTGTGACAACAAATATCGAGTTGTTCTTGATGGTGCCACTGGCATACCACTTCAGAATACACGCGGTGGCTGCCACAATCCAAGTTATCCTATCCTACCATCTTCCCCTGTCATCCGGATACCTATGCGCCAATGTCGTCTTTCAGAACGCCCAAGGTGAGCCTAGAGCCCGCTTCAACGTCCGGCCTGCGAACGCTTCCCGAATTGGTCGACTTCCACGCCCAAAGCAACCCCAAGCACCTATTTTGTCTCCAAGCCGACACAAATGCGGCTGGAAACGGCCACAATTTTGTGCCCTTGAGCTATGAGACGCTACAGCGCGCCATCATCCGCTGCCAGGCATGGCTCAAGGAACAGGCAACCAGTCTTCATGCACCGAAGACTGAAGCCGATGGTAGCGTGAATAAATGCGCCCCCGTCGCGGTGCTCATGGAGAGCCATGTTGGCTTGGTCATCTGTGTGCTCGCCTGTATGGGCATGGGCGTGCCAGTTGTCCTCCTGTCGGCGCGTCTGAGTGCGCCGTCCGCACGACATCTTATCCGCGAAACGGGCGTGAAACTTGCTCTTGTGTCTCCGCGCCTATTGCCCCTTGCTTTCGAGGCAGTTGGTGCTGAAATTCAAGATGGAAAAGAGATCCCTGATGAGAGCACGATCATGATCCGCTCTGTATCCGGCTACGAGTCGTTCCTTGCAGATGAGCCCGCAGAAGACCAGAGTCACACCTTTCGCGCTGCCGATGCGGATCACTACGTTTCGGAAGATGATCGCCAGGTTCTCATCCTACATTCCTCAGGGACTTCGGGTCTCCCAAAGCCGATACCTTGCTCTCATCGATACTTTCTGAGCTACGCCACATGCCACAACTTCGAATCGACCAAAGAAGCTCATGGACTGACGGTCTCTACACTACCGTTCTTTCACGTAAGTTAACAGAAGAAACGAATCTATTTCCAGTGTCGCATCTGACCACAGATGCAGGGTTTTGGCTTCGTATCCGTCTGCCTGTCCCTCAATATCGGCAAGACATTTTGCGCCCCTGTACCTTCCACCATCCCCAACGGTGCCAGCATCGCAGCCCTCATAGAGGACTCGCAAGCGAAGGCGTTATTGACAGTTCCGTCTATCTTGGAGGAAATTGAGGGCTTGCCAGATGGCAGAGGACATGATATCCTTCGCAAGCTAGATTACGCGGGCTTCGGTGGCGGCAGACCCAAAACCTCGGTCGGTGAGAGACTTGAACGTTCGGGCGTGAGACTCGTCGGCCAGTACGGTGCGACAGAGACTGGTCCAATGACACCTTTTTTCGTGCCCGGCAAGGAACACGACTGGCGTCGACTGCGAATGCGTGCTGATATACTCGGACCGCTTCAAGTGAAGCTTGACCTCATCGATGCAGATGCAGAAGAGAGTGCGCAGACCGAATCCGAAGCAGAACGATCTTACAGCTACAAGCTGAGCATGAAGCCGTTTGGGTGGCAGGAGCGCTTCGAACTGCAGGATATAATCGTAGCACGCACGGAATGCGCCTCGGCCGATGACGTGGGACAGCTGGATTTTGTGATTACGGGCCGCAAAGACGACCTGATCTGTCTTGCCACCGGAGAGAAGGTGAGGCCAACGATACTGGAATCCCTGCTCAGACAGCATGAGGACGTGAGAGACGCAACTGCTTTCGGTGAAGGACAGTTCGAACTCGGTGTCATTATAGAGCCTGTCAGGCCCGTCGAACCCAGCGAGATGGTCAACTTCAAGGCGTCGATCTGGCCGGCAATTGAGGAAGCAGGCCGTCAAATGGATGCTCATGCAAGAATTACATCGTCTACCGCGATTCTCGTCGTCGCTCCCGAAGCGCTCCCGAGATCAGACAAGGGCACTGTTCTCCGGAGCGCAGTGTCAAGGAAGTTTGCCGATGAGATGGCGGCAGTCTACCGTGATCTTGAGGCAAGCATGGTTGCACCACCAATCGACCTATCTTCGCCTGCGTCCAGTATCAGAAATCTCGTTACCCAGGACGTTCTGGGGTTAGACAACGGCCGTGATTGGGAGGACGACGATGATTTCTTTTCAGGCGGCATGGATAGCCTTCAAGCGACGAGACTACGAAGACTGCTGACGGCTTCACTGCGCGCAACGTATGCCGCCTCTAAGCCTGGGACAGCCAACCTCCTCTCCACGGACATGATTAAAGATGACATCGTCTACCGCAACCCTTCTGTGAATAAGCTGGTTGAGGCACTGATTCCCGGTTCGTCCAAGACAAATGGAGTCATTACCGAAACAAAGCTTATCGAACAGCTGGTGGACAAGTACTCCAGCAGAGGCAACCACCGAGAGCAGCGAAAATCCGTGGTATTGCTCACGGGCGGCACTGGCAGTCTCGGGTCTTTCTTCGTTGGTCGGCTCCTTGCGGATGATAACGTGAGCAATGTCATTTGCTTGAATAGACCTAGAAAAGGAAACCCTACAGAAGCTCAGAAACATGCGGTAACGTTACGAAAAGTCTCTGTCGATGAGAACGCTTGGAGAAAGTTGGAAGTCCACGAAACAAATACTGCAGATCAGTGGCTCGGCTTGCCAGAGGCCGAGTACCTGCGTCTCGCGGCTAGGGTAACTCACATCGTACATATTGCGTGGCCCATGAACTTCAAAATGGGTCTGCAGTCGTTCGAGGCTTCATTCTCAAGCTTGCTGAACCTCATCCAGCTAGCGCGCCAAGCGAGCATTCACCGGGCACAGAAGCCAAAGCTGTTACTGGTATCCTCCATTTCTACGGTGGGGAACTATCCGTCAATCAAGGGACAGACTTTGATTCCCGAGACGTCTGTCGAGGATCAAAGCTGGACGCTAGATCTCGGCTATGCCAAAGCCAAGCTTGTCTGCGAGAAAATCATCGAACGCGCGGCACAGGACCATCCTGAGATAGAAGCGGCGGTGGTCAGAGTCGGCCAGATTGCCGGCTCTACCACCGGCTACTGGAACGCTTCTGAGCACTTTGTAGCCCTTTGTGCTTCTTCTCAAAAGCTGGGGAAATTTCCCGACCTGCGTGGGGTAAGTCAAGATGTCAAAGAAAAGGCTGTTCTGCTAGCTTGAACATTGGGGCAATTCCATTTTGCTAATAAACTTTGCTAGACCTTGTCGTGGCTGCCGGTCGATATAGCTGCCGAAGCCCTCAGCGAGATTCTCTTCCATCAAGAACCACTCAGTGCAGTCTACCATCTAGAGAACCCAGCCCGGCAGAGCTGGGAGGAAGTTGTCAGACTGATGTCTGAGGAACTACGGATAAGCAGGTCGTCCATCATCCCGCTCGAGGCCTGGCTCGACTTGGTCGATACTATACCGGAACCAGGCAACCCTGCTGCAGGTCTCACACGATTCCTTCGAGAGGATTTCGCCAAAATGTCGTGTGGATTTGTTGTCCTAGATACCAGCAATTCTCGCAATGTGAGTTCGACCTTGGCCAATATGACGTCGGTGGGGGAAAATTTGATCAGGGCATATGTCTCCTACTGGAAGAGTATCAAAACGTTGGCGTAGATACCTGACGGACCATTAGCTCTGGACTTATTGATATTTGGTGTTCTAAATGAGACCAAAAGCTTTATCATGTCTCGATCTCAGAATGCAGAACAGTACTATAGCTCGACTTGGTCATCTTGTTTTGGGCACTAGGTGTTTGCATGTTCAGTCTGATGAAATTAGACCATTAGCAGACAATCCGGCTACCATATCACGTTCTGTCTCAAGTTTCTGCTCGGCGACCTCGACATGCTATTTGCCGCTGTACTTTTGGGGCACAACGACATCACAGAGATAGCGTCGTAGGTAGTCAGAGCAAGAGGAGGAAGAGGTCGCAATCCTGAGTGAACCAAATATTTATATTAGGTTTAGCCTGAGTTCCTTATACATAATTCCATACCGCAAATATTTCTAGCCCTACGTGTCAGCCGATTTCAATCATTTCAAATGTAGTTTAGGGAACCGTACCTTGCGGCTGTTAAGGTGTAAGCGTGCAACCCAAGTCCTTATTGCATGTGTTCAAACACTTCTCAAAGACGGCATTGCTTCCTTTCCCAAAGAAGCAATCTTTGCGGCAAAGATCGCACTATAACATGTTGGTCAGCGTTTGCGTTAGAAAGGCAGGGGGCATAGCTAACGTACAGCTGTATTGGTTGTCTGGCGAATCTCGAGACTAGCAGGGCTGGCGAAGGCAACGCCTGCAAAGAGAGCAAAAATAATGGTAGACAGTTGCATTTTGTAATGGTATAATATCTTCGGTCAACGAAAGATTTCGCAGCTTGGCAATAGTGAAGGAGAATAAAAGAGAGAGTTGCTAACAACTTTGTTTAGAGAGTGAACAGATATACAGTGTTCCTTGAAGCTTGAGAGAGATTGAATGCGTAACTCATCTTGACTAGGTATCCTGAGAGAACAATCCGGAAGTATTTAACTGAATACCTACATGGAGTTTTTGGCAGGGGCTCTTTCGACGTTTGTCTAGGTCTGGGTGGCCTGGCTAGATGTTCTGGACAGCTGACACAAACCTGACACAAGGCACGGTTGCGTCTCGGAAAGTGCCTGCCAAGGATCCAGCGAAATAATAGCATAAAAGAGATGTTCTGGTGATCAAGTGGCCTACTCAGTACGCTGTAGTCCTGTTCTGTACGTGAAAACCCCCTTGTTTTCACG